ACCCTCCTTCAAAACCCTTGGGGAAATATTATCTGGCCTAGGAGCCTTATCATTTCTTAAACTTCCCAATTTCTTCTTAACCAGCTCAGAATTAATGCATTAATCTAGTTCGATCTTGTTTTCATCTATCAACTGTTTAAAATAGGGAATACTGCTTAAAGTATGAAAATATAATAACATTTTTGAGGCATATACTTCTACTAAATCACCACTGACAGAGTAATGAAGTTAAATATTGCTAGAAAAGGGAAAAGTTCTTTTTTACTGAAATATTGTAAGAGGTATTCAGGTCTTTTATTCTTAGTTTTAAAAAACGTACTGATATCATGCGTTGTTTTATAATGATTATTATCAGGTTTGGCCAATTGATAAAAACGAAATCCTAGCCTTGATAAACCTACCACCCTGTATATGTTCAAAGCCAAATCTATAGCCAGTAGAAGAAATGTGGTTAGAAAAATCAAATGATGAAATACTTTTGTCTAGACATTCACAAGGCAGCCAGTCTGGGAATTTCTTAAATCATATATCATTATTTTTAGAAAGTACATTTTTTGTGAAGGAAGTGTCTATCTGAATAATGCATTAGTTTGAAGAGAGATTTGATAATCAGTTTTTGATTGCTGTAATTTATTCAAAAGTATACTTAATGTTATTATTACAATATTACTATCCTAACTTCATTTAATAACAACTACTTTTCATTTTCTATTGCCACCCAGTGGCACAGCAGTATGTCTGTGGACTTACAATGCTAGAATCCAGGTTTCGATACCTGTGGTGGGCAGAGCACAGATAGCCCATTGTGTAGCTATGTGCTTAATTACAAACAAACAATCATTTTCTATGATTTAAGATATTCCCAGATTGGTTGCCTTCTGAATAACTAGACAAAAGTATTTCATCATTTGATATTTTTTAATAAAATTTCTTCCACTGGCTATAGATTTGGCTTTGATTTGTTTTTGTTTGTTTTGTTACGTCTCCGTTTGTTAATTAACTTTCCGTAACTTCGTTCCAACGAAACTTAAGCGACACAAGTTCTTTCTTAATAAAACTGGTTTATTATTTCCGAATATAACTTTACCAATACACTCAACTTCAACAATCGCGCT